AAAGTCAAGAAAGATCCCATCCACTGACTTTCCCCTAACCACAGAGCCAGTTACCTCATCATATAAGCTAATCAGATTGTCAGGCATGACTTGCCCTTGGTAAAGCCATGCTGACTATTCCTGATCACATTCCCCTCTTTCAAGTGCTTCAAAATAGATTCCTTGAGGATCCCCTCCCTCCATGATTTTTCCAGAGACTGAAGTAAGGCTGACTGGTCTGTAGTTTCCTGGATTATCCTTTCTCCCTTTTTTAAAGATGGGCAGTACATTTGCCTTGTTCCAATCATCCGGGACCTCCTCCGATCTCCATGAGTTTTCAAAGATAATGGCCAAAGGCTCTGCAATTACATTTGCCAACTCCCTCCGTACCCTTGGATGCATTAAATCCGGACCCACGGATTTGTGTATGTCTCACTTTTCTAAATAGTTCTTAACCTGTTCTTTCTCCACCGAGGGCTGCCCACCTCCTTCCCGTATTGCATTGCCTAGTGCAGTAGTCTGGGAGCAGACCTTGTCTGTGAAGCTTCAGGCGGTAGCTGAGAGAGAGGTAAATAAAGCATTGAGTATTTCAGCTTTTTCCACATCATCTGTCACTAGGTTACCTCCCTCATCCAGTAAGGGTCTGACACCCTCTCTGATCACCCTCTTACTGCTAACATGCCTGTAGAAACCTTTCTTGTTACCCTTCGCGTCCCTTGCTAGCGCTAACTGCAATTCCAATTGCTTTCGCCTTCCTGATAACTCCCCTGCATTCTTGAGCAATATGTTTATATTTCTCCCTAGTCATCTTGTCCAAGTTTCCATTTTTTATAAGCTTCCTTTTTGTGTTTAAGCTCGCCAAGCATTTCCCTGGTAAGCCAATCTGGTCTCCTACCTTATTTGCTTTTCTTATTGAGCATCCGGATGGTTTCTTCCTGTGCCTTTAATAAGCCAGTTCTCCTGGACTCCTTTCCCCTTCATGTTAGCATCCCAGGGGATCCTGCCCATCAGTTCTCTGAGGGAGTCAAATTCTGCTCTTCTAAAATCCAGGGTGTATATTTTGTTGTTCTCCTTTCTTCCTTTGGTCAGGATCCTGAAATAGACCATCTCATGATCACTGCTGCCCAGATTGCAACCCACATCTACTTCCCCTACTAGTTCCTCCCTGTTTGTGAGCAGCAGGTCAAGCTGCGCATGGCCCCTGGTCAGTTTCTTCAGCACTTGTACCAGGAAGTTATCCCCAGCATTCTCCCAAAACTTCCTGGATTGTCTGTGTCTTGCTGTATTGGTCTCCCAACAGATGTCAGGGTGATTAAAGTCCCCCAGGAGAACCAGGGCCTGTGATCTGGAAGCTTCTCTCAGTTGTCTGAAGAAAGCCTTGTCTACCTCATCCACCTGATCCGGTGGAATATAGCAGACACCTACCACAACATCACCCCTGTTGCTTCTGTCTCTAAACTTAACCCATAGACTCTCAGGCTTTTCTTCCTCTATCTACTGGAGCTCTGAGCAATCATACTGCTCTCTTACATACAGTGCAACCCCTCCTCCTTTTCTCCCCCGCCTGTTCTTCCTGAACAGTTTATACCCTTCCATGGCGGTGCTCCAGTCATGTGAGTCATCCCACCAAGTCTCCATTATTCCAGTCAAATCACAGTTCTTTGACTGGGCCAGGGCTTCTAATTCTTTCTGTCTGTTTCCTATTCATGTAGATACCCTTAGATACACCTTAGATAACCAGTTGATTGCCCTACCTTCTCCATTTGAATCAGGGGTCCTCCTTTGTTGCTCCTTCCTCCGTGTTTCTTCCCCATATCCCACTTCCCCACAGGTTTGAACTCTTTATTATGTTATATTGACAGTTATGCTCAGTGAGGGATGGAGATGGTATGTTAGGGAATAAGTGTTGTAAGACCTAAACCAGTGACAGGTTCATCTTGTAAAATGACAAATATTGCTGTAGCGCTCTGCAAATCTCAGATTTTGAAGTCAAAATTAAACTGCTTGGAGGAAATTGATGCAGGATTCCCCTTGGAAGCCTGGGCCCCTAATCAGGGCACTTTTCAGATGCAATAAAGCACTAATTTAATTAATCCTCCAGGAATCCAAATCTAAGCCTAAGCATCCTTGGCCTCTTGCTTCAGGGAAAGCTGCCGCTCTGGTTTCTGTCTGTATACTTCCTTCACAGAGCTTTCCAAGGCCGTCCAGCAAAGAGGGGAGTCAAATACAGTAGGAAGAAAGGGGCTTTTTCCTCTACTAGCAGGGGGAAACTGAAGCTTTCATTCTATATTGTAAAGGATCTCTTGCAGATACAGCTGCATGATTCTGCTTTAAAATATTAGCAGACTCCAGGAATAAATCTGAGCAGAAAATGAAAGGGGTGGGAGAGAAATTGTTAAGCAAAAGTGGCTGGCTGCAAAGCATTCTGGTTCCATAGCTCAGAGTTTTAGGGGCGATGCTGATCCCGGGGCGCACACCACCCTCCTGCAGCTCCTTGTATGCACAAGTGACATGTAAATCTCTGCCAGGAGCCTGCTGAGGCAGTACAAGCATATAGGTGGGGGCATAGGGATAGCTTGTAAGGACTCACTGCTAACCCCCAATAGAACAAAGTAGCTCAAACGTGGCCGGTGGTTTCTAGAGGTGTGGTCACCTTTAGTGTGGAGATATGGCCTATGCTCACGGCCCACCTCAAAGCCCCATAAGCCAGCTGGATTTTCAGCCTCCATGGAAAAGATAGAGATAGCTGCACTCTGCTCCATTTTCTTGCAAGTTAAATACAAACTCTCCAGTTGCAGGCAAGTTGCCAGGGCAGCCCTTGTCAGCAGAACAAAATGTTCCCCTCCTCCCCCCGCCACTGAGACTGGTTGGGATCCAGCTTTCTGAACCAGCAGGCCCTGCTGCAGTAACCAAACATGCTCCCAGAGGCAGTGTGCAGCACCTGTGGCCTGAAGAGCTCTGGATCAAAGCCCTGGGAGCATTTTTTAAAAACCCTGGAGCACCAGGTTGCTCCACTCCCCACTAGCAGCAGCTGCTGTTCAGCTGTGTCAGTGGAACCGCCCACCCAGACTTTGAAATGCCACTGGTAGAGGTGGAAGTAGAACTAGTTCATGGATACGGGGGAGTGGTGGTGAGCACCCATCCTTTCCCTGGAAATGGCACCTGAAACTTGTCTGGCTGACGTGGTGAAATGGTACGGAAAAAATTGCAGTTGCTGAGCTAGTTCACTACTGATCTGGTTCCGCTCTAAGGGAATCCATCATCTCGCTCTCGTTCTAGAGATGAATATTGTTTGTGCATAGCCGTGCGGCAGCACAGTGTAAGTGAACCAGCCAGGTGGATCTTTGCTTCTCTCCATCAAATAGAAATCAAATAGGTAAATTTTTCTTTTTATTTCATATATAACAACAGTGACCACTTCCCATCAGAACATGCTCCAGTGAGGGGGATGGTTTGAACTCTGACCACAGCTTTTATGGATCCTGGTCTGTCAGGGAATTGGCCAGGTGCATCTCTAGTGCCGGAGAGATCAGTGTAGTATACAGTATGAATTAAGGGCTACCGGTAGGCAAGGCACTGTACACTTAGAAGACAAGGCCCCTGCTCTGTGAAGTTGAACACCCAAGGCAGGTGTTATTTACTGGTACAGTCAGAGCTCACAGGAGCCTTAGTCATGGATTAGACTCCATTGTGCTAGGTGCTGTACAAACAGAACAAAAAGATGGTCCCTGCCTCCAAAGAGTTTACAAAGTAAGTAAAGATAATGGACCATGGGTGATAGAAAAGGGGAAGAGATAAATGTAAACAATGGGAAAGAACTAAAGCTAAGCTCTTATAAGCACAATACTTTTTAAGGATAAGATAGTTTATCTATTAGTATTGTCTCCATAATGACCAGACACCAGAGTGGGAGTTGATAGCAGTTGAATATAGTGGAAGCTCTCTGGGGCGGGGTGATCTCGCAGGGATGTGGCACAGATCTCAGACTCTGGGCCATGTCAAATCTTGAACTGCGGTCATCTGCCCTAATCCTATCTCTATGGGAATGTATTGGAGTGCACAGCAAGGCATTCGAAAAAAGAAGACAGTACGTTTTGGAGGAGAATTTGGACATGAGGAAAACAGAAAGGGAGTTTTACTTTTAAAACTTTAGTTAAATCTAGATCGGATTACAGGAAACAGCCACAAAGCAGGGATCTGAAGTTGAGATCAAATGAGCCAGCTCTTTGGGCCCTGCATGAATTTTTCCTGATCAGCAGTTCTTTAGTTTCTCACGACATGACCTTCCATTCTCTCCTCCTCAAAAGGCACTTTTACACATCTGTTCAGCTCCTGGGGTGGCAGGAAAGGTGGGTGCTCTAGTGTAGATAAGGTTCCAGCAGCTGCTACCATTTTAACCACCCTGTCACATAGACTTGCTCTGGCTTAGTCAAAAAGGTACTTAAAATACCAGTGGCTACTGGACTGTTGTTTAACCTGCATAAGAACGGCCATACAGGGTCAGACCAAAGGTCCTTGTAGCCCAGTATCCTGTCTGTCGGCAGTGGCTAATGCTGAGACAGAGTTGCACAGGAGTAACAAGAGTGGGAATATCTTTATTAAAAAAGACTTGGGCAGAGAAGGGCAAGGAGACCTGTCAGCCCTACGCCAGCCGCCTCCGCTCCCCGGGGTTACTTGAAGAAAGCGTCTGTAATGGTAAGAGGTGCCAAATGTACCCCCCAGGCACACTTGTCTTTTGTTCTCTTCACTATAAATTCTTATCGTGCGCTCATCACTGAAGCATCCTGTTACAGTCCCCTCCTGCCCATCTTTGCTTGTTATCAGGGTCCCAGTCCTGCCACTGGATCCCCTCAGGAAGATCTTGCTGCCATTGACCTGCAAGGGCCCTGACTGTGTTCGTGGCCTTAGAATGCATGGGCTAGCTCTTGCAAACAGCTGTGCCCACAGTGCGCCAGGCACGTGACAACACATACAAGAACAAAGGTGGGGGGGCAACCATGCTAGGTTTTTATCTAGCCATAATGTTCTGGGTAGACTTGGAGGTGTGGAAAGGATTCATGCCTCCACTGAATTACGGTGATTCGGGATCTAAGGGCCTGTTTGCAGGTACAGAACAGCAGGATGACTCTAATATTCTCTTAAACCGGGATGACTCAATATTTTCTGTTGGATGCGGCTGTCCCTCCCTTGTCTAGATTCCTCTTTCTTTCCCTTGTTTGCTGCCCTGCCTCTGTCTCCCTTGCCCTGGATAGTTTCCTGTTTCTCTCTCCTTCCTTTGGACGAATGCCTCTTTCAGCCTCCCCCCGCCCCCCCTCGGCTTATGCAGAACTCTCTCCCTCCCTGGGTGAGAGCCCTCTCCCTGGCTGTCCTCTGCTGTTGTGAATGAGATTCAGTTTCTGAATGGAGTTGCTGGGGGCTCTGGCTGGCTCAGCAGGGGAAGCAGCATTGGCCATGAGAGGAGGGGGGGGCGGGGTGTCTTTCTTTCCTTCCTCTCCGCTGCTTTTGAGGAATAAGGGCTGCGAGGCAGACAGGCGAGAGATGGAGGCTGCAGGAAGGAGTTTCATTCTCTAAAAGGAAAATACAGCTGAAGCCAGGGACTTGATGGTCTCAGGCGAACTCTGTGCAGGAAGCAAGGGCAGGGGGATCTTGCAAAGGCAGAGAAGAAAAACGGAGGCGGCTGAAGCCATAGCCGGGAGAGATTGCGAGCCGATCTGGGGGGGATGAAACTTCCAGGACAGCGGGGTGTTTCCCCCCCTTCTTGGGCGTGCGATTTTCTGTAGCCTGCAGAAAGCAGAGAGGGGGACCGGAGGGAGCCCGGAGTTTGCGAAGGAGCCAGAAGAATCGGGGCCGGTTCAGAGGGGACAAAACTGAACTTCCAAG